TGGAACACATAGTGTGTTCTTGATCTCGATCTTGCGCTCTTCACTGCTGGGCAGAACCACCTTTTCCATGATGGTTCCTCACACCCTTGATGGCCACCTTTGTTGCCATCAGCCACCAATAGTTAGCCTTCATTGCACTCTGCCAAGCTTGCAAACTTGGTCTTGTCGTGGCAAATGTTGTGCGCTGGTACCACTATCGACTGTCCCCATTCCAAACACGTCCTTGATCATCAAAACACCACATTCGAACGAGACTGCAAACGCCACTTGATTGCAGCCATTGCCTTCACCATAATGTCCTTACCTCGGACGTTATTAGCCCCGCGTCCATGACCATTGCCGCCGCGTCGGGCTCCCCTGACCTTCGTTCTTCTGGGCTTTGTCCAGCAAAGATCCACCGTGTTTCCTCTTTGCTACAATACGTGCATTGGTAGGGGCTCACGCTCGGCGCTGAATGCCTTGCTTGCATCTTCAGCCTTCACCGTAGTCGCTTTTGTTGTCCCTTTTATCCTTGACGCTTGGCGTGCTCATTCGTCAGGACTCTTGTTGCATTGTTGATCGGAGCGAGGAAAGCGAGCGAACGGAGCGAGAGACCGAAGAGAGTAGAGCAGAAAACACTTGCCCAATAGTTGGAAGATTCGAAAGTGATCGATTATCAGTACTCATTGTTTACTACATGATTTATATGTGGTGTACATAATAATCATGTGAAGCGTCTTATCATCCTACGCGTCTAATCAACTATGTTAATTACCGTAAGAACTACGTCGTAAATACTAAGCTGAACAGGCGGTTCGATTGGATCGGTCACGGTTACCAATGCTGGTAGAAAACCGATGACCGTCAACATACTGGTCTACGTGGACGACGTCTGGTGACTGGAAGCTCGCTCGAACAAATTGCGCGAACCAAGAACGACCTTTGAAGACACGTTTCGAGATGACAGACAGCGGCAAATGTACATTTGTTCTTGGGATCGAGCTTTTTGGACGGTGAAGATGGCAGTGTGACTCTGTGTCAGCGCCGTTATGTCGATGATATCCTCAAGCGCTTTGGAATGGATGATTGCAAGACAGTCGCAAGTCCAGTCGACGTGATCTCTCGACTGATGTCTGCTAACACTGCGAGCAAGATCGATGTTCCATCATCTGTAGCGGTTATGCTTTGATGCATCTGACGACTACAACACGCACGGACATCGCCTATGCTGTGAGCTTTGTGTCGCGCTTCATGAAGAATCTCCAAGAAGAAATACTGGTTAGTGGTCAAGCGCATCTTTCGCTACCTACAAGGAACCAAGATGCACGGAATCTGCTACAAGCCAAGCGACAAGATCGACTTTCTTCGTGGCTACTCGGATGCAGACTTTTTCATCATGACCTCGCTGATCGCAAGTCGACGTCTGGTTACGTATTCATGCTGTTGGGTACGCCAGGGGGGGGGTGCAGCAAGAAACAGCCAAGTGTTTCGTTGTCCGTGAGTGAAGCCGAATACATCGCACTCAGCTTAAGGATTCAAGAGGGCAAGTGGATCTATCGTCTGCTTTGTGGAGATCGTGATGGCTGCCAATGAAGAAGGACCGGAACTCGTGATCCATGAAGACAATTAGTCGTATCAAGATGACAAAGAACCCGGTCAACCACGGCCGTGCCAAGCACATTAATAGCAAGTACCATCACATTCGCGATGAAGTGAAGCGTGGTGAAGTGAAGCTTGGATACTGCGAGACGACGATGATGTTGGCAGACATTATGACGAAGGGACTTCACGGACCGCGCCACAAGGACTTAACGGCGGCGCTAGGCATCTGTGCACGTTCGGATTAAGGGGGCGTGTTGACGGTCTTCTCTTTTCTACCAGTATTCGTAGCCGTGGCCGGTTCAATCCGAGCCGCCTGCTCAGCTTAGTTTATACGACGTAGTTCTCATGGTAATTACCATAGTTGATTAGACGCGTAGGGATAATGAGTTCTCATGGTAATTACCATAGTTGATTAGACGCGTAGCAACGCTTCACATTTTTATATGCACACCATATCTAAATCATGTAGTAAGCCCCCGACAATCAATCACTTTCGAATCTCCCAACTAGTGAGGAAGTGTCTTCTGCTCTACTCTCTTCAGTCTCTCCGCCTACTTCGCTCCGCTTTCTGCCATGTAGCAGGTTATGAGCCCAAGCGCCATGTCGTCCACCACCAACGCATCATCCAACGTCTCCATTGACCAGTTCAATGGATACAACTATGCGATTTGGAGTCGATACATGCGCAGTGTGTATTTGACGAAGTCCGTCTGGTACGTCGTAAACCGTGAAGCGACTCCGACTTTAACCGACCCGCGAGCGTCCGAGTACTACATTAAGGCGAGTAGCGTCGCGTTTGGTGTGATGCTGCTACACTTAAATGCTGACTACCACCATGTGCTTGACAGCTGCGAGGAAGCGTGGGTTGCGTGGACACGTCTGAAGACGCTGTACGGTGGGTCGCAGAAGGCAGGACGAATCTTCCTCAAGCGACAACTTTTCTGCACCAAGATGGATGAAGGCGCGAGCGTCATGCACCACTGCAACAAGGTCCTCAACGTCTCCGCCAAGCTTAGCGGCATCAGTGCGAAGATGGAAGACTAAGACGTTGCGATCTGTATGCTGCTCATTCTTCCAAAGAGCTACGAAAATGTGGTGCTCAACATGGAAATGAGCAGCGCCGAGCTTCGTACCCAGGACGCGGTGAGAGGGGCTGACGAATGAGCACGCCAAGCGTCAAGGAGAAAAAGGGACAACGACAGCGACTACGGTGAAGGCTGAAGATGCAAGCAAGGCATTCAGCACCGAACGTGAGCCCTATCAATGCACGTATTGTGGCAAGGAGGGACACACGGTGGATCTTTGCTGGACAAAGCAGAAGAACGAAGGTCAAGCAGCCCGACGTGGCGGCAATGGTCGTGGACGCGGGGCTAATAACGTCCAGTGGGGACATTATGATGAAGGCAATGGCTGCGATCGAGTGGCGTTTGCAGCCGCGTTCGAATGTGGAGTTTCGACGTAAGGACGTGTTTGGAATGGGGGACCCGTCGATAGTAGTGCAACGCACCACATTTTGCCACAACAAGCACCAAGTTTGCAAGCTTTGGCAGAGTGCAATGAAGGCTAACTATTGGTGGCTGATGGCAACAAGGTGGCCATCAAGGGTGTGGGAACCATCATGGAAAGGTGGTTCTGCCCAACGGTGAAGAGCGCAAGATCGAGATCAAGAACACACTATGTAGTTCCAAGTATGAGCAAGAACCTGCTTCGGTGCCACAGATCACAGGCATGGCAAGTTCCAAGTCGTGATTGACGGGTCCAAGATGTATGTGACTCTCAAGAACTCACAGCAAGCAGTGGCGACAGCGGATTTTGTGGTTGAACTTTACTGGCTTCGCACGACTCAGCAATCAGCAAATGTGACAACAAGTGGAACCGGCTGTGCTGATCTACATGCGCAAATGTGTCACGCTCCAGTGGATGAACTATACTGGCTTTGTACGACTCAGCGATCAGCAGATGTGACACCTTTACTGGCTTCGTACGACTCAGCAATCAGCAAATGTGACAACAAGTGGAACCGGCTGTGCTGATCTACATGCGCAAATGGGTCACGCTCCAGTGGATGAGCTTTACTGGCTTTGTATGACTCAGCGATCAGCAAATGTGACAACTTTACTGCCTTCGTACGACTCAGCGATCAGCAAATGTGACAACTTTACTGGCTTCCGTACGACTCAGCGATCAGCAAATGTGACACCAAGTGGGAACCAGCCGTGCTGATCCACATGCGCGAATGGGTCACGCTCCCAGTTGACGTACTTCGCAAGATGATCACGACCAACATGATCAAGGATGTGCAAGTCCCTCTTGTTGATTGGTGAAAAGCTTGACGACCGAAACTGGGAGTGATGCTGGGAGTCCACTCGGAAGACCGGAGGAGACACTTGGGGGTAGATGGAAGATCTCGAAAGTGATCGATTACCGGGGCCTACTATTTATTACATGATTTATAAGCGGGGTGCACATATAAATCATGTGAAGCGTCTCATCATCCTACGCGTCCAAACCAACTATGTTAATTACCGTAAGAACTACGTCGTAAATACTAAGCTGAACAGGCGGTTCGGATTGGACCGGTCACGGTAACCAATACTGGTAGAAACCGATGACCGTCAACACGCCCCTCAATCCGAACTCGCACGATTGCCGAGAGCCGTCGTCAAGTCCTTGTGGCGAGGTCCCGAAAGTCCCTTGGTCATGATGACCGCCATCATCACGGAAGTCTCGCAATACTCGAGCTGCACTTCACTGCGCTTGACCTCATCACGGATGTGATGGTACTTGATGTCGATGTGCTTGGCGCGGCCATGATTCACTGGATTCTTCGTCATCTTGGACGCACGACTGGTTGTCTTCACGGATGACGAGGTCCGGTCCTGGTTCGTTTTGCGGCCGCCAAAATCTCGCATAGCAAGCAGCGATGCACCCACTTGCCTTCCCTGGATGGCCAGACTCAGTGCGATGTATTCCGCCCCACTCGTCGACAGCGACACACTTGACTGCTTCTTGCTTCCCCAACTCACAGGAGCACCCATCAGCATGAAGTGTAACCCGAAGTCGACTTGCGATCAGCGTGGTCGCCGGCCCAGTCCGCGTCCGAGTAGCCACGAAAGTCGATCTTGTCGCTTAGCTGGAAGCGGAGTCCGTGCGACTTGGTCCCTTGCAAGTAACGAAAGATGCACTTCACCGCCGTCCAATGTTCTTGCTGCGGATCCTCCATGAAGCGCGAGACGTACCCCACAGCATACGCAATGTCCGGGCGCGTCGCAGTCGTCAGTGCATCAAAGCTCCCACAGCTTCACGAAACGGAACATCGATCTTGGCCGCTTCGCTCGCTTGCGACAAGCCGAGTGCTCAAGTCGACCGGACTTGCTGTGGCCTTGCACTCATTCATGCCGAAGCGCTTGAGGATGTCGTTGACATACCGTCGCTGGCACATCGTCACGCTGCCATCCGATTCGTCCACCAGTTCGATGCCTAGTACAAAAGTACACTTGCCACTGTCGGTCATCTCGAAACGCGTCTTGAGGTCGGCCTTCGTCTGCGCAATCAACTCGAGCAAGCTGCCGGTGACCAACACGTCATCCACGTAGACCAGCACGAGCACACAGTGACCGTCGACAACATTGATGTAGAGACATGGGTCGAACGCCGACGCTTCGAAACCGATAGAGCATACGAATTCGTCGAAAGTCTCGTTCCACACACGTGAAGCTTGCTTGAGACCGTAGATCGCCTTCACCAACTCGAGACAGTCGAAGTCGCCATCCATCTCGACGCCTTCTGGTATCACGCAGTACACCTTCTCCTTCATCACTCCGTAGAGAAAGGCTGTCACCACATCGAGTTGGTCCAGTGGCCAGTCGAAATACTTGGTGATCGCGATCACCATACGCAGTGTCACGTACTTGACCACGGGCGAGAACGTCTCTGTGTAGTCGATGCCATACTTCTGCTTGAAGCCCTTGGCAACGAGACGCGCCTTGTATTTCTCGACCGATCCATCCGCTTTGCGCTTGATCTTGAACACCCACTTGGTGCCGATCGCGCCTTGGCCTCTTGGCAGTTTTGCCGCACGGAAAACTCCACGAAGATGCATCGACTTGAGTTCCGCCTTCACAGCGTTTCTCCAGTGAGCTTGATCAGGACCATTTATCGCGTCTTGAAAAGTCACAGGTTCTGCTAGGTCCATTGCTTCCACTGCGTTTGCACTTGCACGCCAAAATGTTGGAGGCGTCGAGTCGTCATCTTGATCGTAGACGCTTGCATCTTCTTCGTCATCAGACATCGTTTCTGGAGCACTTGATCGTCGTTTCTGGTGACGGTTGGAGACGTGTTCCGGCGCACTTGCTTGTTCCAACCCAGTTCGAGGGCGAGCTGAACGTGACATGCCGGGTCTTGCTTCACTCTTGCGCTTGCCAGTCTGCTTGTAGACGGTTTGACGCACGTCGTCCTCGTTGATCGCGAGGAGGTCGAGGTCCAACTTCACATCTTCATCATCGTCACTTGGTCGGTCCATTGAAAAGTCAAAAGTCGATTCGTCGAAGGTGATGTCACGACTGATCACCACTTGGCCCGCCTCAATGTCGTACACTCGATAAGCTTTTGAAGCTTCTTCGTAGCCCATGAATATCTCTTCACGAGCCTTCGGGTCCCACTTCAATCGCTTCTCCCTTGGTGTCAGGATAAACGCCCGACATCCAAACACGCGCATGTGGTTGACACTTGGTTTCGACTTGTACACGATTTCGAACGGAGTCTTGTGGTCGATCTTGGGTGAAGGCAGGCGGTTCTTGATGTAGATCGCCGTCATTGCCGCTTCAGCCCAGAAACACTTCTCCAGTTTTGCATGATGCAACAAGCTGCGTCCGATCGTGACGATGGTCCTTATCGCTCGTTCTGCGGTGCCGTTGGTCTGGTGTGCATACGGCACCGTGATCTGTTGTTCGATACCATGATCTTCGTAGAAGGTCTTGATCGAGTTGGTCGCAAACTCATGCGCTCCATCGTGCGGAACAAACTTGATCTTCGTGCCGAACTGAGTTTGAATCTTGATAATGTGGTTCTTGATACAGACTTCACTCTCAGACTTGAACCGCATACAGCAGCCCTTCATGCAACCGCTGGCTTCATCAACCACAAGCAGTAAGTATCTGCTGCCACCGATCAAGACTTGTTCCATTGGCCCGCAGATGTCGAAGTGTAGCAACTCGAACACACTGTGGCAAAGTCACTACTCAAGTTTTGTACGAGGATCGGTGGCCACACCTTTAAAGCGCCGCTTACTGGTGGAAAAGGAGGCCATGAGACTCGGCGATCCAATACGGAGGTGGAAGATGATCTTAACGGGATTGGCGAACCGATCCAACTGTCGTTAGACTAATGGGTATGGATCGACCTGGGACGGAGCGATCTGGAACGATTTACATGGAACAATCTGGGACAAGGATCTGGGACCGGGTGATGGGATATGACTCTGCGACGAAGGTGTAACATCTTGCAGAATGTTATGGGGCGATTTGGAACCAGACATCGGGATGAAGTCATACAGCTCATTGGAATGCCGGTCAAGAAGAAGTATACGTACATTGAAGCAGGCTAAGATCAGATCGCAGATCGACATGCTGTGGCAACGGTTTGTTGGAGAATTGACACATCTGGGACAAGGTGACTCCCCAAAGTGCATCTGGGACCAGGTGGTACGGGTCGGTGAATCGGCAAAGAAGGTGCAACACCATACGGATCGGTGATACTCTTTACCGATCCTAAATTGGGAGTACTGATTTTGGTTAATTATACACCGATCTGGAAGTTTTGCATACTCAGGGGAGTCAAGGAAACCGATGTCGAGACGTATGAATGAAGTTTTCGATTGGATAACACTGGAGGATGATATTGAAGCACGTATGAGGAGATGAAAAAGTGTTAATTGCCGATTTAGACCGGATCGACCTCCAACATCTCGATATTGGATGACAGATCGGTCATGTTCCACACTGATCATGAATATATGGTTGATGAAGATACTGGATCATGTGGAATATACTTGATAGAGGTCACTAAGTGATGTCAAGAAGTTTCATGCCGAAAGAGCCAGTGGAAGCTGTCCGAATTGACGTCGCAAAGTGAATTTGGACACCTTCGGCATTTTGGGTCATATATTGGGTACTTGGGTGCCAAGAATGGGTATTTGGTACCATATAGGAGATTTTGGTCCATTTGGTGCTCTAGGTACGATATCGGGGATATTGGCGCTATCATTGGAGTACAGGGCACGAAATTTCGACACGTGGCAAGGGGGCGAACCAGATTCAAGGCGATATCGGTTTGAAGAGTGACCTATAGTTAAGAATAGGCTTAAGGGTAGGTTGGATAGTAATTTGGTTGGTTAATAAACAGACTTGAACTCTACTTCTTCTGCTCACGACGCACGTTATCCTCCCCTCTTCTCCAGGCAAGATTGATTTGGCTTCCCGGCGGGTTAAGGCACGCGTGTTACAGGGACACAGAAGACCGATCTTGGATTGTTGGCCAAGATCGAGAAGAGCGATCCCGGGATATCTGGCCCGGATCGATCAAGTACTCACACTCAACTCAACTGCTAGGGTAGCAGCACACAACGGAAAAGGAAAAGGATTTTGGACACAGGATCGCGAGACGGCTCAAGTGGTCAGAAGATCTGGACAAGGCGTTCAAGACAAGACCGAGCAGGATCGAAGCGATCCCCTGGACAGATCGGCACGTTTCATTTTGGCGAAACAAGACACCGATCTACCCAAATTGCGCACTTCCGGCAAGATCGGCCGATCCCAAGACCAGATCGGACCGATCCCAAGGCAAGATCGACGCAGGACTTTTATTTGCTGAGTGAAGATTTCCGCACAGCAAAGACCCCGATCTCGAAGACAAATCAAGATCGGTGCGATCCAAGATCGGGATCGCAGAACCCCCCGTTCGTGGTGTGAAGATTTCCGCACCGGAAGCGAACCCTCAACCCAACCTCTCAGCGAGATCGACATCTCCCAAGGCCGTTACGAAGAGCTCAAGCCAGCCCAACCGACGGGTACACAAGGTGAGCACAAGGTCATACAACAAGGCACGGATCGGAGTACCCCCTCCGTGAGTCGGCAAGTCTGGGCAAGTGGAAGATCGACACTCATACAAGCAATTTTGTGAGATCGACTTCACCACAATGGTGCGCGTGCCCGGATCTTCTGAGGCCTCTGGATTTCACCGTGAGTCCACTGGCGAAGATGTCAAGATTAAGCAAGAACCTGGGATTGAAGTGTCAGCGACAAAGGGATCGACGCAGACACGCAGAAGCACAAGATCCTCAGATCATCAGAGTTTTGGGAGGGGCTCTGATGAAATGAAAATGAAAGAGGAAGATCGAGAGATCGATCTGGAAGATAAACCTCAATTCCTCCTAGGGTCCCTTCGGGGCCACCGCAGATCGCTCTGCAAAGAGCGATCTGCTGGATGAAAATCCAATGGTGAAAACCAAATCGGCGAAAGCCAAACCCTACATCTTAGTCGATAGATCGCCCGACCTCAAGCCGAAGAGCACAATCGCGAGATCGACCACATCAGAACGATCCGCGACGAGATCGATGGGATCAGATGTCAAAGATCGCCAGATCGGCCGAACCGTGCAATCGAAGATCGGAGCCAAAGAGGAATACGATGAAACACCAGATAAGATCGCGATGCCAAAGACGGAATATAACCCAATAAAGATCGCGTCCATGGAGAAGGAGACGACGGGTGAAGCGCGGGAGCGTGCAAAATGGCAGTACTATTATGGCCAGTTGAAGACGCTGCTCAAGACGGACCCAGTGTTCAAGATATTAAGGCCCAAGGTGATTGGTCCTCTGGATAAGCCGATCTCGGTCCCACTTCACGGGACCAACAAAGTCGACGAGATCAATTTGATTTTGCAGATGTTGGACGACATGGGTATCTGCCCTGACGCTTTTGATGGAGATGAACTGCTGAGTTGCAGCTTGGAACAGTTGAAGGACGCGGCGAATGAGTTTGTAGAGATCATGATAATGCTGGTGGGCAAAGCGAATACTCCTGAAGACAAGATCGGGACGCCCTCGGGCTCGCTCCGTAAACACCCCGCGGGATCGCCCCGCTACGCCTCGGATGACTCCGAGAGCGAGTCAGATGGATCCATCAGCATTCGTCAGATGTCTCTAGGACCATCGGGTGGAAGGTTCTTAAAGGACAAGATCGGACAAGCCAAGATCGACGCCTATAAGGGACAAGCCAAGAGCAACATGCCGCAGAGATCGGCCAGTACCCGCACTGGGCTGGAGGATCAAGAAGAGGGCGATCTAAGTCGGTACTTCAATTCAGCCATGAAGAAGTACGAGGCGGATCAACGTACAGCTCAGCGAATGAATCGACAGCCAAACCGCTACCCAGATCGACGTACTTTGCTCCAACCTTCACACGAAAGCCTTGACATGCCGGATGTGGAGATGGAGTCGGTGGGGTCGGACATTTACCAACATATCCATGAGGCGGCGGAATACGACCCGGATGATCTATGGATGCCCGAACCACGGCGCCCTCATGTAGCCGCGACCGGTGCGACTACCGGAGGGGGAAGCATCACGCAGAGGATCAGAATCTCAGCGATTTCTGAGCTGAAAGAATTCTCAGGGAAGGATCGGGAAGAAGACAAAGCACGGACCTGGATCGGCAAAGTGAAATCAGCGTTTATCCGGGACCAAGCACCGGGCGAGGAGAGATGTCTGGTCTTCGGTGATCTCATGGTGGGCCCAGCCCGCTACTGGTATCGACAGCTGAGTAGATCGACGAGATTCAATTGGAAAGAATTGATGAACAGTTTTCTAGTGGAGTATGCGGGACACGGGATGTCCGCGAGCAGGCAGTACTACCATGCAGAGAAACGATCGGAGGAAGATCCTTTACAGTACCTGTATCGGCTTAATGTGATGGGAATGCAGGCGAAGATACCGGTGATGACTGGATTGCCAGCTGCGCGCAAGGAACATGTCAATCATTTCATTGACACCTTGGACGACCCCGATCTGTCCAATCAATTGCTACTGCTGAATGTAGAAGACGCGGGGAGCCATGCAAAAGACACTGCACGGATATCAACAAGGGAGATCGCGTCAAGGGAAAGTGATGATGGGATCGTCCAAATTCAGGCAGAAGGGAACTCAGGGTCCAGCGCTGTCTAAGCCTGCACGAGCGGTAAGGATGGTCCGTACCGAGGACGTCTGCAGCGAGTCAGGATTGGACACCTGCGGATCGGATTTGGAAGATCGATTGAGATCGATCCATGTGGCTGCTACTGCGGATCGCCGTTCATTCCCCAATGACGTTGCAGCAAACGCGAGATCGGTCGACCCGAACACTCGTCAAGACTATCAAGATCGCAATATGCCATTGAAGCCGTGTACTCATTGCGGATCGACCAAGCATGGAGATCTCGGTTGTTGGAAGCGGCTCACTTGCCAGAAGTGTGGGCGTAAAGGACACCCCTCTGACAATTGTTTTTCGTGTGTCGTGCTTGCGGTGAGATGCACGACCCGGGGAAGTGTCCCATGGAGGAGTTCTACAACATGATCCGTCAGTGGTACGTCCCGAATAAGCATGCGGGGATGCTACCAGAGAAGGCCGAGAAGATGTTAAACTAGGACGCTCGCCAGGTTTGAATCTGGTACGAGCCGAGCGTTCTGGGCTCTGCATTATTGCATACGTGGAAAAAAAAGAAGACAGATCGCGAGAGTAAGCAGGATATTGACGTGGAAACAAATATATCTCGTTCGAAGTTAAAACGTGTCGCTTCCGTGTCCCATCTGAAGCGGATCGATGAGTACTCACGATCTGAACCAGCTATGGAGATCGAGCTCGCTTATGGTGAATCTCGCGGATACTGGAAACATTATTCACCCGGGAAGTGGTTCAAACAAGCGAAAGCCGTTGGCAAGATCAACAATGTAAAAGCTACTCTGTTATTTGATTCTGGTGCTGAAGTGTCGATCATTGACACCACCTTTGCTCGTGAGGTCGGTTGCAATATTGACGAAAGTCAACGACAAGAATGTATCGGGATTGGAGAAACTCCGTACATGACGGTAGGACGTACCAAGATCAAGGTGACCCTCGCGGGATCGCTGGTATACTATTTCAATGTATGGG